TGGAGGTCATGAAATCCCTTCTCAGGGTCTCAGTCTCCTCCCCTGTGAAATGGGGCCACACAGGGTCTTGCATCATAGGCTCATTGGGATGAAGAATAAGTGAAACCTTTGTGTTCCCAAGTCTAACCTGAGCATGAGAGGGGACCTTGTTTTAGAGTACTGAGACAGAGCAGGTGTCCCCATGCCAGTTGGGTCTATGATGGCACAGCACCCTACACAGCTGGGGTGAGGGGCAGGCTTCTCAGATTCTTTGGAGCTGCACTGTCAGCTGGTGGCCGTTTGGCTTAGGGCTTTTTCTTAGGAGATGTGTCAGACACTCCAAATAACATGCAGGCAGGCATGGTGTTCTCCCTATTCCTCCTCACAGTATCGACTTCCTGGTTTGGAAACTCATTCCTTCTCTCTCTCTCTCTCTCTCTCTCTCTCTCTCTCTCTCTCTCTCTATATATATATATATATATATATATATATATATATATATACACACATACACATACATACACACATATATATACATACATACACACACTTATACATACATGTGTATATACACATACATACATGTATGCATTTGTGGAGACATGTATCCCCAGCATATCTAGTCAACAGCTGCTACAGGCCTGGCATTTTCCCAAGGGTTTGAGCTATGGATCTGGAGTGAACAAAACAATGCCTGAGGGCACAGGCAGTCTTGCCAGCCTCCTGTTTGTAATCAAGTTTTATGGCACACACCACATACTTTCCAGGTGTATTAGTTACTATTCTGTTCTTGTGGCATAACACCCAACAGAAGCATCTGGAGTCTGTCATGGCAGCAGGAAGATGAGGTCAGTTGGCACACACAGTCTGGAAGTAAGGAGACACAGATGGATGCTGATGCTCAGCTCACCTCCTCCTTTTTATTCATGCCGCCATCACGTAGGGGTGGGGTCCCCTCACAGACATGTCCAGGTCCTAGTTCCTGCCAAGCTGACAGTCAGTACTGAATGTCACACTAGCCTTCACTGCCATTTTAATAGTGGCTGAGTGACCGTTAGTCCAGAGACCCCCAAAATGTGTCGTCTTTGTAGAAGCTTGACAGCCCTGGGGTAGATGAGCGACTCCTTAGCAGGCCAGCGTGAAGGAGCAGGGTTTGCTTTATTCAGTTTCATCCCAGGATTCTTCTAGAAGGCATGCTAAGCAAAGTCACAGTCAGTTCGGAGTGTCTCTTGGTGCACTCTCAGCCAGTTTGCCATGGAACCTTCTAGATGTTTTCTTTGCTTACACTCACGTGTACTTGTTTGTTTAGACAAAACCACTTTCCTGGCACTTTGTTGCTGAGACCTTTTAATTCTGAGTTTGTGTTACCCAGTGTTGAAGACATCTTTCTGTGACGGCAGACATCTGTGTGAGCGCCGTTTGTATCTCACAGCCTGGCCTCCCTATCTAGTGTTTCATGGTCCCCACCCTCTTCATGGCTCAGGCTGTTGTTCCTGTTTTTCACTGATGGCCAGTCCTGCAGGGAGCGGCTGTGTTCTGGAACCTGGCAAGTGTGCTTGCTCATCTCCCCGAGATGAACTTCTGGAACTAGCCCTGTTGATTCAGCTAACCCTGCATGTTTTAAATAGGCAGACATATGTTCTAACTTGTTTGAGCACAAACTTTAGAGGTGTATGCTAGCTTGGTCTAGGCACAAACCTTGGGGAGGAGCTCCAGCCACTGTGGTCCTGGTGCCTAGTGAGTTACTGGACCGAGCCAGTGGGCTTTTAAATCCCAGATTCCTGAGGGGTTCAAAGCCTGTGTCCTTATTAGAACCTCCTGGGGCACTGTGAGAAAGGTGGAGCCCACGGGTATTGTCTGGGAGCACTGTGAGAAAGGTGGAGCACGCGGGTATTGTCTGGGAGCACTGTGAGAAAGGTGGAGCATGCGGGTATTGTCTGGGGGTCTGGAGAGAGTTGTGGATCCCACAGATGGAGCCCCCATCTTCCAGGCTCCGCCTCTCACCCGTCTTGGAAACTGAGGGCTGCATTCTGCTCAGTTCCTGTGCCTCAGTTTCCTTGTCTGGCGGTAAAGTGCAGAGAGAGTGGCTTCTGAGGAACCTTCTGGGTCTGATGTCTAGGATTTGGTTCCTCTTATTTGGAACTGGCAGAACTGTTGCAGGGATTGGGGTGTTGCTGGCTCCGTCTGACCTAGACCCAGACCTAGGCCCTCTTTTCCATTGCTTGTGTATGCTTTTCAGGGCCTACTTTTGCTGTTTTCAAATTCTGAGACAGTGTCTTGCAAAGAAGTTCTGACTGGCCTGGAACTCCCTATGTAGCCCAGACTAGCACTGAACTCATGGCATCCCACCCTGTTTCAGTCCCTGAGGTGTTGGGATCACAGGCATGAATCAACCCCACCACTGTTATGTTTTCACACTTAGCAATGTCACCAGGACCACACGCTATCTTCTGCAGGTTCTTTGTCTCTTACATAAATGCATGTAAGAGGGGATTCATTCAGTGCAGGGGAGGTGGAGGCCTCACAGCGGTCTGCGGAAGGGAGATGGGAAAGGAGAGAGGAAGGGCCTGTTTTCTCAGCCAGAGGCCGGGAAGGCAGGACTCAGCATTCAGTCACTGGAAACCGGGAGTCTTCAGATGGGAGGAGTGTGAGGCTCTGGGCAGGGGAGTTAAGATCAGTGCTGCAGAGGGAAGGAACCTCTGGCTTGGCCTCTGTGAGCTTAGCCTCTGTGAGCCCCTGCAGCGAGGGAGGGGCTTCTTCAGGGTGCAGCTGTTCCTTCTGCCTCCTGTCTCTCTTTCAGGCTCTTCCTGTCTCTTTTACCCCTTATCACATTTCCCCCTTATCACCAGAGGCCTCAGCAGATGCCTAAGTCAAACGTTTGCAAAGGGCCACAGCGACTGTGTCGCTTACTTAACAAGATGTCACCGTTCCTGTCTCAAAAGAAAGCTCTTGGCAGGTGAGGCCCCCTCTGTCTACGTCAGGATGCTGTTGACCACAGATTGTGCCATCTGCACCAGAAGAACATGACAGAGATGTGTTCTGGCCCCAGTGACACCCGGGAGGCGGCTGCTCCAGAGGGCCTCTGCTTGCCTAGCCTCACTCATGTTTAGTGAGCTTGGGTAGAGCTGAGACAAGACTCAGTCAGTGGAGGTCTTGCCTTCAAGCAAACGTTGAATGTAAGATTTTCTAGAAAGCTTAAGTGTTACAAGTTCTCTGAGAAGTGGCTGACGTAGGGCCTTGCAGCCACGAGAGCTGCCCAGAAAGCCATGGCATTGGGGTGGGATGGAGTTAGGGTAGGGCCCAATCTGTAACGTTTGCTCATGGCCAGTCCTAAGTCCCAGGGAGAATTCAAGGGTTTCAGGCCCTCGAATGTGGCCCATGACCTTGGATATAAAAACGCAAACATGGTCCTAGCTGGAGTCATCCACCGTGGCACAGCATGTGTGTGGTCTGTCCCCTGTGTTCCTTAAGGGCTGGGACAGACATCGGCCTGTCTCAGACACCCTGTGCTCAGCAGCGTCTAGGGAAGCACTCACGGAGATGATAATGACAGCCTGAGGGTGTGAGGGTGCACACCCCATGGCTGACCCTGAGTGTAAAAACAACCAGCTGCTTAGAAGTCACTGTCCTTGGGACTGGTTATGTGACCAGCACTGTGTCCCACACAGTAGGGTGTTCTCTGGCCACCAAGGAGCATGTGGAGGGACTGACCCACAGAAAATCTCAGACCAGAGTCAATCATGGTGTTTCATTTGTGTAAAAATGTTCCCTGGGATGTGTGTGTGTGTGTGTGTGTATGTGTGTGTGTGTGTGTGTGTGTGTGTGTGTGTATGTGTGAGTGTGTGTGTGTAGTCCTGACGGATACTTTACCACTGAGGCCCCTTACCCCAAACCCCCATTATAACTCCTTTGCAGTGGAGGTGGGCGCAAACTGAGACCACCTGGGCAGGCTGTTCCTTCCTGGTGCTTGTGTATTCTGTTGCCGGGCTGTAAGGGTCTGAAGAGGAACTACTACTGTGAGCGAGTAGCCCACCCAAGACCACTTTTAGTTACTCTTGAGAGATCCAGGGCGTTAGTGGCTGGTTTCCATGGTGATGGTACAAGACAAGGCCTTTCATGTACCACCCGACTGGGGAAGACAGTAGCACAGGTGTCATGGTGACTCACAAGTCACCCAGATGTCAGGCACAAGACTGGGCTGGTAGCCAGTTCTGTGATGACCTGTCCCCTTGCTTCCAACCTGTATGTCACACCACCAGTCCAGGATGTCACTTTCTCAGCTGTAAAGTAGGATTGTACTGAGCCCCATAAGGTGGCCTCCAGTCAGCAGTGTGACTTGCTATAGACTCAGGGTCACTGCCGTGCGGGTGCTGGGCTGAACAGTGCTGGAATGAGGTCCTGTAAACCTGGAAGGTGGGAACACGCCTGCCTGGCATTTCTGGAGCTTTGAGGAGGGAGGAGATGGGTTGTCAGTGTGTTGGGCAGGGACACTGACAGGGCCAAGTGACACACAGCAGGACCCTGTACCTGGTTATGTGTTAATCACTTCTCTTGCCACTGGATAACAAGGGATTTTCTCTGTTCACCATTCCAGAGCGCATAGCCCACTGTGGAGCAAAGATCTCAGGCTGCCTGGACTGTGGGGTAGAAGTTTGTTCATATCATGGAGGATCTGAAAGCAGAGATCTGGGGTGGAAGCAGGACAGACTCACTTGAAGCCTCCTCCAGGGCCCATACTGCTGCTGAGTCCTTATGTCATACAGATTTCACAGCCTTCCTAATGGGGACAGAGCATTCACACAGAGGCACCAAGGGGAATATTCCACACTGGACCCCAAGACACAGTCCATGCCAGAGTGCCCTTCTGAACCCGGAAAGTGCTGCTTCCTGTCGTGTCTTGGCAGATAGGGCATTGGTCTGTCTCCTTTGCCCTGACATGGGCAGCCACATGTGAGGGCCGCGGGGAACTGGGTGCTGTGGGGTGGTAGGATTGTACCTGAATCCCTCCTCGTGTCTTTCAGAACCAGCTGAAGCAGTGCTTCTCCAGGAGAGCACCCGAAGCCAAGGATACTGACACCCTTGTTCACGAAGCCGACAGCCAGTATGGAACCTGGGCAGACCAGCACCAGAATGGAGGCAGGTAGGAACACACCTGGGTGAGGCTCCCAGGCACCAGCTGACACAGATGGTGCCATGTCTGCCCTGGTTAGGTGTAGACGGACGTTTCTGTCCCTCCTGGTCCCGCAGCCATTCAGTCCCAAAGAAATACACAGAGACTTACGTTAATTATAAATTGTCTGACCTGTTAGCTCAGGCTTATTATTAACTCATAATATTAATTAACTCTTACAACTTAACCCATAATTCTTGTCTATGTTTAGCCGCATGGCTTGGTACCTTTCCTCAGAAAGGCATTCTCATCTTGCTTTCTCTGGTTCTGGCTGGTGACTCAGTCTCTGCCTTTCCTCTTCCCAGATTCTCCTAGTCTGGTCTCCCCACCTATACTTCCTGCCTGGCTACTGGTCAATCAGTGTTTTATTAAACTAATATGAGTGACAAATTTTTACAGTGTGCAAGATCTTTGTCCCACAGCACTTCCCCTCTTTTCTTTTCAAAACAAGATCTCTGAATCTAATTTCCTTTGTTTAGCTTTTTTTCTTGACCATTAACCGTAACAACTTGTAACTAACATGCTAAACAAAGACAAACATCCATAATCCATTTCTTTTGGGATTGTGGGCATAGTTCTCTGGCTACTTCCTGCTGATTGGGGGTGCTGATAATCTTATGGGGACCAAAAGAAAATTCAGTATTATGGTCAAGTCTGGACTGGAGTACTCTGTGAGGCTGAATCATCTCAGCCATCAGTCCTGAGACTTTTCTGAATGTAGAACTCAGAAGAAATTGCTACAGAGGTGCTCCGAAATGTTGGCTCATCTGGGCCATCAGTTTCCATTGGAAATGTTTCAGGAGGTCTTTCTTGACCTTATTTTTTTAAACCCAGAATAAATTTACAGTCTCTCATTTCCTGCGGAAACAAAAGCAAAACCTCTTCTCCAAAGTGGCATATCTTTTGACTTAAATTTTGAAGTCAAGGCATTTTCAAAAATGGATTAGTCCAGCAGCATTTATAATCAGATGTCTTTTGGCAACTGTTGCTCCTTCCTCAGCAGTCAAACAATGCCAACACAATAAAATAACATACAGTATCCAGACTCTGTATTTCCTATCTTTATGTGGCTTTTTTTCTTACTCTGTTTCTTTTTTTTTTAATATTTATTTATTTATTATGTATACAATATTCTGTCTGTGTGTATGTCTGCAGGCCAGAAGAGGGCACCAGACCCCATTACAGATGGTTGTGAGCCACCATGTGGTTGCTGGGAATTGAACTCAGGACCCTTGGAAGAGCAGGCAATGCTCTTAACCACTGAGCCATCTCTCCAGCCCCACTCTGTTTCTTTTTAAAGGACTTTCTCTATCCTTTTTCTTTTCTCCTCTAAGCCTACGTATATTCATATACATACTGTAAACCGTTTTAGGTTTTTTTTTTTTTCCTGTCTGAATCTGTCTTTACTGTGTATCTCTATCTTTTTCTGACCACATGAGTCTTCAATCTGCTAAGCTGCAAGGCTAGGATTAAAGCAGCAGCTTTGGCGGCTGGCTCCACCCATTCCTTGGCTTCCCAAGAGTCTAGCTTCATGGCGGAAGTATTGATAGGAACCATGTTTATTGCCATAACTCTGGAATTTCTAGGTGCATACCACCACCAGGAAGCATGCCACTGACTGCTCACAAACACCCTTTGAGTCTTTGGTGGCAAAGCCTCTTAAAGACTTGCCATACAGTTTTTGCTGCTAACACTGAGTTAGAAAGCCTTTCTTAAAGGAGCCGAGCCTCTGCTTGCCACCAGCAAACAGAGCCTACCAGAGTAAAAATGGTTACCAAGAAGTTGCATTTGACTCTGCTCTTATCTGTCTGTCTAGAATCCTTTTTCTTTTAAACTTTCTCAGGCTTTATGTGGAAATTCTTGCCAAACATTTGGGTGCCATTTGTAGACCGAAGTTTTTGTCGCTTCTAGTCCCAAAGAAACACACAGAGGCTTATATTAATTATAAACTGTTTGGCCTATTAGTTCAGGCTTATTACTAATTAGCTCTTACAACTTAAATGAACCCATAATTCTTATCTATGTTTAGCCATATGGCTTGGTACCTTTTTTCAGTAAGGCATTCTTATCTTGCTTCCTCTGCTCCTAGCTGGTGACTCACTCTCTGCCTTTTCTCTTCCCATAATTCTCTTAGTCTGGTTGCCCCGTTTATATTTCCTGCCTGGCTACTGGCCAATCAGCGTTTTATTAAACTAATTATAGTGTACAAAAGCATTATCCCACAGCAGTTAGAGCTTCTGTTGCTGTGATTAACACCGTGAACTAAAACAGCTTGGAGGAAAGGGTTAATTCAGCTTCCACTTCCATCTCACTGTTCACCCCTGAAAGAAGTCAGGACAGCTCAGGGCAGGAACCTGGAGGCAGGAGCTGATGCAGAGGCCATGGAAGGTGCTGCTACTGGCTTGTTCCTCATGGCTTGCTCAACCTGCTTTCTCAATAAAACCCAGGGCCATCTGCCCAGGGATAACTCCACCCACAATGGACTGGGCCCTCCCCCATCAATCACTAATTAAGAAAATGCCCTATAGGCTTTCCTACAACCTGATATTATGGAGGCATTTTCTTAATTGAGATCCCCTCCCCTCAGATGACTATGGCTTGTGTCAAATTGACATAAAACTATTCAACACAGAATCTGTGTGGCTGACACAGAAAGTTCTGTATTTAAAGAAACTATAATAGGAAGAAGCAATTGTTGTATAAAGGGCATTAATTAGAAAGCTGCAAAAAGGTAGAAATAAAGTAGCCTGGGCATAGCCAGGAGCATGCAGGGACAGGCAGACCCTCAGGGACAGACATACAGACATCCACAGTATGACAGGGTGACACACAGAGACAGACTAAGTGAACACAAATACCCTGTAAACAGGAGCCAGAGGCAGACCAATGGTGCAGGTGATGGTCTGGGTACCTTGTGGTGACAATATTCTCAGGCTTGTCAAACCTGAGGTTCTCCACTTGTATCCGAGTCAACTTCACATGGGTCTTGAAACGTCTGTAGATGACTATGTCATATCACACTGTCAGAGCCTGGTCTCCGCCCGTGGACACAGGGTGGCTGCACAGCGTTGTGGTGTGTCACTGGGATTAGCTTTGTGCCTTGTGAGGTTTTCTGCTATGAAAGCATGCTGAAGACAGACAGACAGCAGCCCTGGGTTCGGGTTCGGCCCCAGCACAGGTCACCCCTGCATTTGTGCTTCTGAGTCTCTCTCGATGCTTTCAGACGTCTGTGTGTGTCTGTGTCTGCCGGCATGCACTCCACAAACCCCTCCCTAAGTAGCGTGAGCATGGATGTGGCTTGCAGGTTGGATAAGATGGACCTCCCCATCGGGCATCTTCCTCCTCCATAGAAAGGGTCGGTGCTCTTCATGTGCTGCAGGCTCAGTTCATGCACAGGACTGACTGACCAGTCCTGTGATCTGTGGACAGCATGCAAGACTGGGAAACTGAGGCTCACAGAGAAGCAGGGACCTGAGTAAAAAGCATGTGTATCAGTGACTGAACTGGGCTTAAACCCGGGTCCCATCTCTCCCACTGCTGGGGCTCTGACTGCTCCTTTGAGTCAGTGCTGGAGTAGCTGACCACTTCATTGGGTCAGTGCTGGGGGTGCTGACCGCCCCACTCGGTCAGTGCTGGGGGTGCTGACCGCCCCACTCGGTCAGTGCTGGGGTGCTGACCGCCCCACTCGGTCAGTGCTGGGGTGCTGACCGCCCCACTCGGTCAGTGCTGGGGGTGCTGACCGCCCCACTCGGTCAGTGCTGGGGTGCTGACTGCACCACTGGGTCACACTGTCCAAGCTGCCCTGAGTTAAAGCTGGATTAAAACTGGTTGAGAGAAGAAATGGAACCAACCAGTAGGACTCACCCCATCTCTAACTCCTCTCTACTTACCTGTGACTTATGTGTGTAGTGATCTTCCTTGAGTGTTTGATTGGAAGTGTCCCTGCAGGAACACCCAAAAGTCTGGTGATCTGTGCTGGAATTTGTTCCTGTCTCCTAAGAGATCCTGAGCCCTGTGGTTTCCCAGCTTCTGTCTGAGACTTCTGATATCTTGGTGCTTCCAATGCTGTGCTCCCCCTGCTGTCCTACAGAGGAACTGCAGCCTCTGGGACCAGGCTCTCTTGCCTTGGACAGTGGTGCCCCCTGCTGCCAGCGGGTTTCTCTTCCCTCTGGGTTTTCATCTTTCCATTCAAGTCCTTACACCTCAACCTTAAAAACCTCTTGGAGCTGGGAAATACGTGATAAGATGCTGGGGCTCAGGACTGACAGTGAGGGAGCGAGTGAGTGAGTGGATAACTGAGTGGTGACTGGCTGAGTGTGTAAGTGAGTAACAGCGAGTGGGTGACTGGCTGAGTGTGTAAGTGAGTAACTGAGTGGGTGACTGGCTGAGTGTGTAAGTGAGTAACTGAGTGAGTGGGTGACTGGCTGGCTATCTAGCTGACTAGTTGACTGACTGACTGACTGACTGACTGACTGACTGACTGGCTGACTGACTGACTGACTGACTGAATGGCTGACTGACTGACTGGCTGAGTGAATGAGTGAGTGAGGCAGCCATTGATTGAAGCAGGAGGACTGAGACCCAGCCTTCTCTACTGGTTATTAGGGACCCTTGGACCCCCTTGCCTTTGTCCAATGGAAACACAGCATGAGCTATCCCCATGAGATCCCACATGACTCCAGATACTGTGCAGGTCCCCAAAGGAGCACACAGATGTGGGGGATTGTGTGTTCTGTCTTTACAAAGGTCTCTGTGGTCAGTGTTAGAAGTGAACTGACAATTTCCAACAAGCCCAACTGCCTGCCTTCTCTACATGGAAGGACCTGCGTTCCAAGGCCTCTGACCTGACCCTCTTCTCAAGCCTTGGCTGTTTACCACACACCTCCCCACAGCTCGTTTTGCCTTTCACTTTTATTTTATTTCTCTTCCTTTTTTGAGTGGGGGACATAGGTGGTTGCTTATGTAGACCAGGTTGGTCTCCAACCCCTGACTCTCCCGCTTCTGCCTCCTTCCCCAGAGATTCCAGGTGTGCCGCCATCACTCCTGGTTTTGCTTTTGGCTCTCCTTTGCCGCCTGTGCAGGTGTCCCTTGGCCACTGTTGCCGAGAGGAAGACCCCTGCTGTCCCCTGAGTCTGAACACTCTGAGCCATGTGTCCACGACCCCAGGTTTGGGATTGACTGTCCTAGGCCCCTCTGTGAGTGCTGTTGTTTCCTGCCTTTCGTGCAGTTTTGGCCCCGAGTCCCCGTCGTCCCCGGACAGCAGTGCTGCCTCTGCGGGGAAGCAGCCACCAAGCAGCCACTTGTCCTCGTACACGGAGTCCACATCGGTGGAGCAGCGCGACAGCTCCAGGGACCGGCGCAGCTCCAGCGTGGACCGTTCCAGTTCTGAGCTGGAGTCCACAGATGGCCCAGAGGGGCCACCCCCATCAGACGCTTGCCCAGCAGAAAGGGAGGACGATTTTTCCTTCATCCATGTAAGCAGAAGCTGGGGGAGGTGGCTGGGATGGAAACAGCCATTTCACCGCCCACCAGGTTGGTCCTTGTGCTTAGGACCCCTGCTGTGGACATGGGACACAACCTTAGACATGTACCTTCCTTTAGCATAGGATTGCCCCATACTAGCTGTGTGTCTTGGGGCAGATGTCCTCACCTCTCTGATCCTCAGCTGACTTACTCAGTAGTGACGAGCACATCCAGCTCCACGACCTCAAAGGTGATCACAGGTGTCCAAGGCACATCTTGCCATGAGTTCTTCCAGGTCAGCCGGGGCTTGCCTACAGCAAGCACAGAGCAAGCACCTCTTTGGGTTCTTGCTCAGCAGAACCTGGGCACCAGGCATGAAGGACTCTCTGACAGCTGTTCCAGGCATAGGTTCCCTCCTCCAGAACTGAGCTTGCCTGGGTACACACACAGCAACCCCTCAGGTGCCCAATCCGGAGCCATGGTACCCTGCGGTAGGCTCTTCTAAACTGGACTCTGCCCTGCTGCAGAAAGCCTATCCAAGGATAGGAACTGTCATTATAGCCTGCAAGGGCCGCTCACTCCTGATGGCCAAGCGCCTGACCTACTCTTGGGTAGCTGTTGCTCCAAATGCCCCTGAGTGGTTTCTAATGGGCCTCCACACAGCCAAGGTCTTCTCTCTGGCATCTCTAGATAAGAGGTGAGACAAGACCAGGATGCGCCCTCAAGGGCACTGCCATATGAACAGGCACTGGCCCATCTCTGGGTGTTGTAAGAATCTCAGTGGGTGATGTGATGTCATTCACTCAGCAGCCATGCAATGAAGTACCGTGGCCGAGCCTTGCTGCAGCTCCTGTGTGCATGTGATGTGTGTCGTATGACACAGGTGACACTGGACATTCCTTCTTGAACTCTGAGCACTTCCTCCTAGAATCCATCCTAAACAATGGCGGGTGGCACCAGCAGCCCTGGGTCCCTGGTAGCTGCCCCGTCCCATGCACATAATGATAACCAACGGGCAGCATTCTCTGCCTGCCTTTTGGAGTAGCAAGTTGGCATGGCTGCTGATTCTGCCCAAATGCTGGAGGCCCTAAATATGGGGTAAACTGAGGTATATGTGGTTTGCCACCATGACTTGGGTATCCTGTGGGAACCATTTGGAGGCTGATCAGAGAGATGTCCCAGGGTAGCCCTGAGGACATGGAAGGGCCCCTCTCTATTGGTGTTCTGTAGGTGGTCCCTCCCTCCCACCTGCACTCAGGATTATCACGGGGGCCACAGTGAGTACCTCTTGGCTCGGGGACTCCATGAGTATGGTTGTCATAAAGATACAGAGAGATTTACTCAGCAGGTCATCAGCAATCAGAACACAGGCATGGATTGAGCTCCTGGTCCTTACTTAATTTACTCTGTGTGATGTCACAGTCTATACTTGCTCCCATGTCTGTGTGTCCTGTGCTGTTCTTGGGCACTGCCTACGTGATTTTCATGGGGGAGGTTGAGGCTTATGGCGTCAGGGGTGTCTTTAGAGCATGACACACCAGCCCATGCACCCCTGAGAACACCTTGTGTATGAACAAGGCTGCGCACGGTCTGTGGATGATGCCTCGCACTGACAGTTTCCTTCCTTCCCACTTCCTCCTCGCCACCCCCAAAGCAAACTTCAGTCCTCGACTCAAGTGCCCTGAAGACCCGGGTGCAGCTGAGTAAGCGAAGCCGTCGCCGGGCTCCCATCTCCCACGCCCTCCGGCGCAGTCAGTTCAGCGAGTCAGAGAGCCGGTCTCCTTTGGAAGAGGAGTCACACAGCACATGGATGTTCAAGGACTCAACAGGTATACCCACACCTTCCACTTGACCTGTATACTGCTCTGGGCAGGAAGGCGTCAGGTTAAACCCTGGGATGAATGGCCTGACCTTGGAGGGTTTGTAACACTGGTTCACAACGACCCAGGAAGTCATGGTTTCTTGTTCTGTAGAACTTGTGTTCTGAATCTGTGTGTGGTGGTACCCGTCTGTAGTCCTAGCAGTTCAGGGACAGAAGCAGCAAGATCTTCTCAGTGCAAAGCCAGCCTGGTGGTCTACAGAGTGAGTTCTAGGCCAGCTGTGACCCTCTTTAAAACAAAGAGCCAGGCGTGGTGGTGCACGTCTTTAATCCCAGCATATGGAAGCAGAGGCTGGAGATCTTTGAGTTTGGGGCCAGCCTGGTCTATAGGGCAGAGAGTAGCAGGACCAAATGTGGCCTCTGACCAGGTGCCTAAACGAATGCTTGGCTTGGGTCATTGCTTCTCATGGTCCACTGTACCAGCGAACAAAGGTTAGGTTACTGTTGAGGGCTGGGGAGATGTGTAAAGTGCTTGCTTCACAGGTCCCAAGACCCGCATTCAAATCCTCAGCCCCTCGCACTCCTGTCACCCAGCCTTGAGTAAGCAGAGGCCAAAGGATTCTTGAGGGTTGCTGGCCAGCTCTCTAACTGAATTGGTGAACTCCAGGTCTGGTGAGAGATTCTGCCTCAAAAGATGAAGTGAGATTGATGTCTATGCCCAGCACCAACCTCTGACCTCCATACGCGTGCACACGCACACATGCCTCCCTCCATGGGTACATACAGTGAACACATGCACCTGTACACAGAGCCAACTGGTAATAAATAGGTCAGTAAATGTCTGCAGGGCCAGAACAGTGCTAAGCCACCTGGAGCAAATGCCACCCACCATACAGACAGAAACACACAGAATCCTTCACAGGGACCTGGCAGCAGAACCTGTGACTTCCATAACCCCGACCACATGGCCCGTGGATATGAAAGTCTAGGGCTGACCTTTCTGAGCATGCCCAAGTCCACCTGCACTAGGGCTCCAGAATACATGCTGTACCCCACCAATGCCCAGTTCTTGGGAAGCCAGAAACTCTTTACCACTACCCATCACCAGGAAGTCTCTGGCACAGCCCCCGACCTGGGCAGTGCTTTGAAGAGACCCTGAAGCATTCCACATTGCTCCCTGTTGGTGAGACATGTCTCTGCCGCTTGTTCTGCCTCTGTCAAGAATGTCCTCCAAAGTGGCAGGAGCCAGGGGTCTGCCTGTGCCCTCCCGAGAAGAGGCGGGCTCGTGACCACTGTTTCCAGGCAGTGTCTGAAGAACGGGGAGTGGGAAGCTTCTGCCAAGTACAGATGGACCAGGGGTGCCCTGGTCCTTGTGCAGGGCTGTGAGGAGCCACCAATGACTCAGAGTCTGTCTCTTAATAGAAGAGAAGTCGCCCAGGAGGGATGAGTCGGATGAGGAGCCACCCAAGGTGGAGAGGACGCCTGTCAGCCATTCCCAGAGGATGCCCATGTTCCCAGGCATGGACCCAGCTGTGCTGAAGGTACCGAAAGCAGACCACTGAGTGAACCCCCCTTCCTGTCCACCCTTAACTTCTGTCTGTCCCTCATGACCCAACTAACGACTTTTCTCCTTCTCATTGCTTTCACCCATCCATGATTTAACCTCCCTCCCTCCCTTCCCCTCTATTGATCATCTTCAGTCAGCCTCCCCCTTCCCTTTCCCCACCCCCCCTTCCATTGCACATCCATTTAACATCCTCCTGCCTGCATCTGCCATCTGATTGCTGGGATGACAGGAATGTGACACTGCCTAGCTTCTCCCAGAGAAATTCCATTCACACAGTCTTCAGTCACCCCTTTCCAGCCTGGTCCCCAAACTCAGGAAACAGTCGCCCATGCCATGTGCTTGTGGGGCCCCAGTGTTGCAGGCTTCATGTCACTAGATGCAGGGGTGAATTTGCTCTAGCCTCCACTGGGACGAGGCTCTGAACTTCTCAGGCCCCCATACTTCCTGCCTTGGTCACTCAGTAGCTCAAGATACCCAGTGCTTTGTGAGTTGTCACCCTGGGAGCACTGCTAGATGGGGCTTGTCCCCAGACAGAAGACAGCTACACTGCACCCTCCTCTCTCCCCAGGCTCAGCTGCACAAGAGGCCAGAAGTGGACAGTCCTGACGAGTCCCTCAGCTGGACGCCCCAGCCCAAGACCTCTAAGTTGCCCTTCCAGCCTGGGGTGCTGGGCAGTCGGGTGTTGCCTTCCAGCACAGAGAAAGATGAGAGGTGAGTACGGGGACGCTTCCACCGGGGTCAGGATGCTTGTGAGTGCTGTGTGCAGGTTTCCCTGTGGGTGCACTCTGTACCCTGTCAGCTACCGCTGCAGACCCAGGGAGAGAGCAGGATCTCAAAGCCCTTCTTTTCCCTCCTCCCACCTGACCCAGAACTCCAGGCTGTGTTTCCAGGAAGCCCTGCTGGATACAGCCTTCTGCAGATAAATGGAAACTGAGGCACCCTGCCTCCTCTTATGGTCTTGGGACAGTTGGGAGGCCTAACTGGTCAGCCGCCCTTCAAGGAGGAGGCAGCGGCTCCACCCCAGTCAGGCTGATTCTCTACATGGATGAGACCCGAACAGCCCCAACTTCAGCTCTCGGGCCAGGCTGTGAAGTGCTGTGTGAGCTGAAGAAGCCACATGACCACTCCATGCCTCACCTTCCTCTTCTGTGAAATTGGTTTGGTGACCCATAACCTACTGGGGTAGCCATGGAGATGAAACAGGAGCTGTGTGTGAAACCCTTTCCTTGGCCTGCTCCATAACAGTCTCATAATGGAAGGTGCTTTGTGCTGACAAGTTAGGGCATCAATTCGGGACCCGTGATATAGGGGTGTGGAGCAATTCTGCTGCAGTAGAGCGAAAGTCAGCCGACTACAACCCACAGGCTAGTTCAGTCCCACTGTTTGCTATAGTCAATAAAGCTTTATTGTCCCCTAGCCTTGGCTATACTTTTATGTATTGTCTATGGCTGTTACCATGTTAAAATTCAGGCAGCCTATAGCTCATAGCTGGACACATTTGCTCCCTGCTCTGTAGCCCCTGTAGATAGGAGGCCTCTCAGCACATATCTGAGGAGGAGGGCACCCAGAAAGCCTCCAGGAGATGTCCTTTTCCTGAGTCCTGATTAGATGGCCTCATGGTATGATGAGAGACTTCCAGGTGATGGCTATACTGTCAGAGCCCCAGGAACACATGACCAAGGCACAAAGAGGAACTTGTGAGGTGGAGGACACAGTCAGAGTGGGGCAGGCTCTTGCTGAGGTGCTCACTGTCCTGGGAATGAAGGGGGCGGCCCTAGAGGCGTCTGTGGACCTGGACCTGACATCTTTCTCCACCATCAGGCAAGGCTGGGCTGAAATCTGGCCTGGCATTCTGCCTCTATTTCAAGGCTAGAGGACAGATCACCCTGAGGGAGGTCTGCCTCCACACTTCAAGTCACCTCGTCCCTTATCCTTTATCCCCAACTAGGTTACCAACCTCCCTAAGCCCTCCCTACATCAGGAACTCTCTCTGTGGATGGTTAAATAATTCAGCTACACACACACACACACACACACACACACACACACACAGAGAGAGAGAGAGAGACAGAGACAGAGACAGAGACAGAGACAGAGACAGAGACAGAGAAGCAGGGGGATCGCTGCACATGGCTGTGGGGTCCAAAGACCAGGGAGGAGATACAAATCAATGCAGACAGAGGCAGGCAGCTGCTGACTCAATTGTAGAGCCTTCCCTCTCTCTGGGCAGTCATGGTTTTTTTTTGTTTCGTATTTTTCTATTTAGGCTTCAGCTGATGGAGAGAGGCCCATGTATAGGATGAGCCATGATCTGCTTGACTCAGAGTCCACTGAGTCTCATGGATCTGCATAGGTCTGCATAGATCTCATCCAAAAACATTCATAGAAATATCTAGAATCATATCTGATCAAATGTCAGCATGATGAATGGAGGGCTGGGGGTCTTGAAGGCCTTCAAGAAGCCAGGGTGTGGGTCTCACTCCACTCGCTCTGGCTTTACGGTTTCAGGTCAGAGGAATCCTCGCCCCAGTGGTTAAAGGATCTGAAATCCAAGAAGAGGCAGAGCCTGTATGACAATCAAGCTTGACCAGGTAGGACCCTGGGATGGCTCAGGTGGGGCCTCAGGAGGGAGGTGGTCACACAAAGGTGAGTGTTCTGGTAAAGAGCCTGGCAAAGGGTGTCAGGTAGCTAGGGCTCTGACCTCATGACCTTGACCTTCCTGCTGCCCTCAAAGCCCTTGGGAAATGCAGGAACATCAAAGGCCAGCTTAGCCTGAGAAGTTTTAAAGCTTTGTAGAGGGAAGTCTTAGTGTACACACTGTGTAAGTTTATTTCAAGACGTATATAGTCAGCCCTGCATCCACCTGAGATCCGCTCAAAGGCTCCACAGACACCAAGATCTGAGGACCCTGAAGTACTGGGTGCGAAACACCTGTGGACGGTATAGAACCCCCCATGCCCTCCTGTGCACTTAAGTCATATTTATTGCTGTATAAGCACATGACTCTGTGGAGTCAGTTCTCTGTCCACATACATGTGGGACCCAGGGATCGAACTCAGGTCTCCAGGCTTGCACAACAAGCCTCTTTGCCCTCTGAGCCACCTCGCTGGTCCTTTAAGCCACCCAGATGACTTCTAACACTTCACACATTGTGTACCGGCTGTGTTGTTTATCTTGCTGTTGCCTAGGCAATGCTGACACATCTGCACATGCTCAGTAGAGATGCATTGTCACCGTGGGGTTGCCTGATGGTGTGGATTGGGGATGGCACAGATGGATACGGCTAAGTTTATTTAGAAGCCATGCACTCAGATTACTGTGTGCTCTACGGTCTTTGCCTACGGAGATCAGCAATACCATGTAGCTGTGGGGTTTCCCAGCCTGCCTGAAAACATAAGAGGTTGATGGAGTGCCACCTGGGCCCCAGCAGAGAGAGTGGGGTGTGTGATGCCGAAGCTGGCTTGGGTGTGGTCAGGAGAGAGCCCCCTCCTGAATCACAAAAACCAAAACCCAGCCTGAGTGGACAGGGTGCTTTTTGGAGTCTGCAGGATCACCTCGTTGGTCTGTTTTGGGGTGTGCATTTTTGGGGGGAACACCCTGGAACTCAGAGTCTTATGCTAGGCCAGTGCCCTGGATCTTCACAAGGCTTCCTTTGCTCTAGCACTGTGTCGAACCCTAGATGAGACTAGACATTCACAGCAGATTGTATTTGGCAAGGGGAAGTTTCAGATATGTATACAGCATGTGTCCCATAATTACATGTATGTATGGGCATGTATATATATCATAAATCCAAAGGATGAAAAAAATCCCAAGCAAGTCTGCTCCAGGGTGACGGTGGAGGGTTCAGGGCCTTGTGTTCATTCTGTGTTGCTCAGTGCTGACATGGAGTTTAGCAAACCTGTGGGCACAGGGTAACATTCTGGTCCCCATGTGCCCTGCGCTTGTGACCCATCACCCCGAACAGTTCTTGCTTCATGGCGAGTGTTCAGAGTCCTCTGTAGTGAGTTTGAAATCTGTGATACAATCTCTAGCAACACACAGAGGAAGTTAAGGCTCATTGCAGCTGGTCAGGGTGCCTGCCCCATTGTTCACTTTGCCCATTCTCAACTCCCTCCAAATCCACTCAGGAGGTGGAACCCACATCAGGGTACACCTGAACCCCAGCATAGGATGGAAGGCCTGATGGCAGAAGCTGCCCAATGCTCTCCTAACAAGGGCTTTCATTTCTCTGCAGACAGGACATCACTACACCCACAAACTCAAGCCTTAACTGCCAGATGTCAGAACCCGAGGCCAAGCCACCTGCTCCTCCCTGGCCACACTCACGTGCCTGGGCCTTTCCACCCTGAAGACACTGTGCTGAGTCACTTCTGGGTCCCCACAGGAAGACCCTGCCCCAGGACCTGCTCCAGTCCCCAGAAGGATCTTCAGTTCTCCTTGCAGAAGTGGATTGACTTTGGTGTGACGATTGGCTTTCCTGCCCTCTGCATACACCTCACAGGACTCCCTCGGCTGGAAAAGAGACTCTGGGCTCCTCCCCAGGCAGCCCGTCTGGAAGGACTTGGACACACAAGCTTGACCGGCTCTCAGATGGCAAGGGAACTGTCCAAGCATTACACTGGTGTCTCCCGGGTTTTGCTTTTTTGTTTTGTTTTGTTTTCTTTTTGACAGGTTCTTCTTTCCCCACTTAGATCCCATATTCATACTTATAAGCACACTTATCCTTCCTGTGGGGCTGTGTGCACAGTAGGGCTGTGTGCACAGTAGGCCTGTGTCTCACTACTTTCTTGTCTGCTTTAGAGGGGGATAAAGCAATAATGCAGCCAATTTTCTTAGAAACCTGACACGGGCGTTGTATTTCAGCATTGACAGACGCAGGAAGAGATGGACATTGTCCAGTGCCTCAGGTTACCTGATCCCTGTCCTAGCTATGAAAACTTGTGAGTTTTACCATTGTCCATGTCTAGGCTGCTCTGATGTCTGTGTGGTAGCCTTTACCCCTCAGTCCCAAGTGTTATGAACCTCAGTCCGAATGGTCAGTGCCTTGGCCACTCACATACCAGACCTGCTCTGGGTGTCTTTCTTTTTCATCTTTTCTGAACACCCATGTCCTGCTGGAGTGAAGACCCGACTAAATCAGCTGAGAACAGACGTGGCCCCACCCCTGCCCGTGACCCACCTGGCCGAAGTCCATCTGCATCTTGATCTCACGGAAGGGCCCCTGTAGTGGGGGTCTCAGGCCAGATGCTAGGCCAAAAGCTCTAAGATGTTCTTCGCATTCTGCTAGCTGAATGCTCACCCCTTGGAGTCTCAAACCCTCTTCTGTACTCTGGACACCCACTCTGTCATGTTTCCTTTTGTAAGTCCTCAAGAGGACTTCAGAAGTCCCAGCACCAGCGGTCACCCCTAACATGCCAAGCCGGCTGCCCACTGTGCCGGCAGCTTCCAGAGACCTTGTCCCAGCCTTGCCTTGGTGACATGCCGAGGCAGTTCCCAGGTTCCATGGCTGTGGAGGGCCCTGGGTCTGGTGTTCTGACAGATACCTGCCTGGCACTTGTGCCCGCCACTGCCCTGACCTCCCCATCGGCAAAAGTTGCTCTCTGTAAACCCGTTACTTGCAGATGGTGTTGAGACCTGCCTCTCTGTCTTCCCGCCTCAAATCCTCTCTCATTATCCTCTCTGCCTGTTTTCCCTTTGGAAGGATGTGGGAAAGGATGGCAGTATTTGGTGTCATTAGGTTAGGACAGTCACCTGTGCTGGGGGCTGAGGTGTCAGCACCCAGGAGATGGCAGGCCCCACCCGCACCCCACCCTGTGCTCTGGCCACCAATGAGAACACAGTGTCAACACTTCACTGCTTTCCCTTCCTCCCTGACAGCCATCCTCTGAAATCATTTGGGGTTCAGTCTCCCGGCAGACTCTTCCATAGTTCTGTTTTCTGTTGTGTTATGATTTTAGATCCATTTTGTATGCTGCAGCACTTTTGACCCAGCAGTGGCTTGCCAGGGACTCCTTTTAAAACACACTAGCAGGGCTGAGGATGGAGTATGTGCCTCACCCGGGGAGGTACCACATAATCAAGTGTGGAGGGGTACACCAGTGATTCTAGCACTTGGGTAAAAGGAGGAGGGCTGGTAGTTCAAGGCCATCCTTGGCTAAGAAAGCTGGAGGCTAGCCTGGGCTGTAAAATCCACTCTCAAACAGAGCAATAACAAAAACCAAACGAACAAAACCACAAAGCAACCATCTGCTCACGTGTCTAACTTCTCTCCACTGCTCTCTTTGTTCTGGGCGTAAGAAGCCCATGGTGGCAGGAAGTGTCCTGAGTATTGAAAGACACAGTAGCATCAAAGTGAGCTCGCCTTGTCGGTCATCACCTAACCTCTCTTGCTTAGTTGACAAGAAATCAATTTGATTCCACAGAAAGACCCATATACTGACAATCTCATTGGGTCAGGAGTGACCCCCCGGTGCAGTGCCGTGTGCTCGGACCCTTGACCGAGCTGAGCGAGTGATTCATTTAGTCCCCTCTTCTAAACCAGGTAAAGACCTGGGAGACAGGTGGTGTGCTGTATGCTTACTCCTTGGACTTCTCCAGGACCCTCTTTTTAAAGGAATCTAATATGCCTTAAGTGGTGCAGTTCAGACACTCGGGTCTCCCCAGCCCTCCCTTCTGGGAACTGGCTGTCTGCAGAGTCCCACATATGCCACATCTGACCCCTCTTTGCCCATCATTGTTTTGACATCTGGCCTTTGAATACCCGCCCCCATAGATAGGCATTTTCCCACAGTCTCTGTCCTCTGTCCTGTGAAATCATACGGCACTCTGGGCAGTCCTCAGCCCAGCAGAGAAGCCAGGTGGTCCCGGAGAGCTGGAAACCTAGTGTAAAATTTATCTGCTGGCCTCAGGTTTGGCAGGATGCAGGGACCCATCAGAGGGGTTTGTATTGTAGGGAAGTGAGCAAGGTTTCTGTCTAGATGTACATTTTCCTCCTACAGTGAAATCCCCTCTAGAAACAGGCCTAGGCCTTCAACCTTAGCTGCTGAGCAGAGATTGGAAAAATCCTAGAGTCCTAGGATGTATGTGTGGTGATGGTGGTGGTGGGAGATAAGGCTGCTCTGTCAATCCTGGCTTTCAGATGGCCCGTTCTAGTGCCCAGAGACACCCTCTAGATCTAGGCTTGATTGAAAAGTGAGAAGCCATGCCCACCCATGTTAATATTATGGTTCTGGCAAGTCATTTGGGCAACAGAAATGGTGTGCCCTCCCAGTGTGCCTTTGTCCCACCACGTGTTGACAAGAAACAGATCCCCACATTGCTGGGGACAGTCTTGAGGCGGAAGGAGCTGCAGACTAACAGGGTCTGCTCCACACCTCTGAGTTTGCCTTGGCCTCAAGCCCCTCAGTGAGAGAGGACACCATTGCCATTTTAGGACTGTCACGTTCCAGAAGCCTGAAGCCATGTCAGAAGGCAGCAGGCCGGAGGAAAAGGTTTTAGTTGTCTCTGTCCCGTGACCGCTGTCACACCCTAGAGTATCCTTTTATGAGGACACTTCACAGCCTGCATCCTTCACCATCCAAGAGTCTCCTTAAACTGTTAATGTCATCTGTGCTGTGACAATCCCTGGCAGCACTGAGCCAGCTAGAATCTCTCCTATCCTCTAGAGGACAATCGCGCTTTTTAATGTTCTCCTCCTGTGTCGCCTTACAGATGTTGTGTGGGGCTCACAAAGATCATATATTGATATACAGAAGGTTTGTACCAAGTGGTTTCTTATTCTGTTCTAGAATGATCATGGTCCTCAACATGCTTTGTATGCTGGGGCGGGAGAATGGAATTATATATGTGAATATAGGGTATATTTTCCTAACTGTTCTGGGTCCTGCCTGGGATATTTGTGACGTGATCGGTAAGGACTCACAAGACACACGTCCTGTCTGTGGCATTCTGACAGCTGCCTTACCAATCCATGAGCTGGAGGACTTTGGAATGACGGTGGACGGGGCACTGTAGCCAGTCCCAGGAAGGACCTAACTGCGTGACTGAGAATTCATCTATAAAAACCTATATTTTTACTGTCAAAACAAATGGGACTTCCCGGACTTCACAGTGACTGGATGTCCCCTGTGCTTTTATATTTTGTCGCTGTAAGAGGTTTTCTGGCACAGACAAGCAGTCAGGAATCCAGCTGACTGCACCAAATGGGGTGAACTCTGCATGTGCAAACGAGGCACACCCAGACTCCAAAAATAGTAAATAAAGCTCTCACAGCAGGCGTGCTGCTGAAGCCATGTGTCCTTGAGTGAGCAACGGGGCCTCCTGGGTTGATGGGGTCCGCCCCACACAGGCTGATTTTGTACTGAGCTGGGTTTAGGCAGCAGGATGGAGCTCCAGACAGGTGGCCATCCATCTTGGGAGACATGGAAATGAGGCAATGACCACTGAGGTCCAAGAGAGAGAAATCCTCACCCTGCCCCCTTCCCACTGCAGGACCTCTCTGTGTTGGCTCTTCTTAGCAACAGAACAAGGGTTTGTGATGGCAACATTTGTGGCAAGAATTACGGTGGGGTGATAACTGGGAGGTGGGGGGTTGTCCCATAGAGACCTTTTGCAATGGTGGAAGCACTCTTGGTTATTACAGGAAGTAGGTGAGTAGAGGCCAGGAATGCTAATCAACAGCCTACCCAATGATAGTCAATAACCTACCCAAGATGGCAAGTGCTAGTCTAGCCAGGGAAGTTAATCAACAGCCTACTTAATGATGCTAGTCAATAACTACCCAGGGATGAAATTGATAGCCAACCTAGATATGCAACAACAACCTACCCAAGGATTTAATGAACAGCCTACCCAAGGATGTTAATAACTTAGTTGTTTGTTTCCTTTCTGCTACTGCAATGAACCCCATGCCCAAAAAGAACTTAAGGGAAGAAATGTCTATTTGACTAACGCTTCCACTTCACCAGCTTCAACTGAAGGATGCCAAGGCAGAAACTCGAGCAGGAATCTGAAGTAGAAACCATGAAGGGTGCTGCTTACTGCTTGGTTTTCAGGCTCATGGTCAGCCAGCAGGACCACCTGTGTAGGAAGTGGCGCCACCGCCACCAACAGTGAACCAGGCCCTCCTACATAAAACAATACCCGACAACTCCCTGCAGAGCTGGACCAGGCCTTCCTATATAAAATAATGCCCACGACAATCCCCTGCAGAGCTGAACCAGGCCCTCCTACATGAAATAATACAAAAGGCAACTCCCTACAGAGGTGCTCACAGGTCATCCTGGACCGGACCGCCCTTCAAATGAGACTCCCTGCTCAGATGGCTCTGTGTTGTCTCAAGCTGACGGTAAGGTAATGAGACACGACCCAGGGATGCTAACCGATAACGTGTCTTGGAGGCTCATCAAGTCTACTCAGGAATACTGCATTTGTGTTTTCCAGAGAACAGAATCAATAGAATGAATATATATTCAAAGGTCATTTATTAGGTTGACTTGCACAGTATGACCCAGGCAACCCAACATTAGGTGTCTTCGTGCCAGAGGAATGGGTGCTGCTCAGTCCACAGAGCTGGACACCTCAGCGCTCTGTGGCTGGAGCCCAAGACCTGGAGGTTACTAGAGAATCACTGGCCTCCAGTGACCGAAGAGCAAGCAGGCAAATGCAAAGGCTCATCGTAGACAGCCTTCTGTCCAGGCAGCTCATTTTAAGGTGGGTGTCCTAGGTTCATTTCTCTTGCTGGGATAAAACACCTGATGAGAAGCTGTTTGGTGAGAAAAGATTTATTTGACTTACAGATCCGAATCAGTCCATCAGTGGGACTACGTGATTCTTAAAATCACGGGGTCAATTCATCAATGGGGACATCCTTATAATCCCAGGGTCAGTACATCAGTGGGGGTGTCCTTACAATTCAAGGGTCAGTCCATCAGTGGGAGCATCCTTACAATCACGGGGTCAGTTCATCAATGGAGACATCCTTAAAATCCCGGGGTCAGTCCATCAGTGGGGACATCCTTATAATCCCTGGGTCAGCCTGTCAATAGGGACATCCCCCTAATCCCGGGGTCAGTCCATCAATGGGAACATCCTCATAATCCCACAAAGAGTCCATTAAACGGGGCATCAGAACTGATTGCTTACAGCCAAAGTCAAGAGCAGAGAAAGAGAGAGGTGCATGTGTGTGTGCAGCTTTGTTTGCTCCTGCTCATCTGAGACTCTCATAATTCATGCAGTTCAGGACACTGTGCCTTGGGAATGGTGTGCCCAGAGACTGTCCTGATCGATATAACCCTCACAGGTGTGCCCAGACACTGACCTGATCTATATAACACTCAAAGGTGTGCCCAGAGACTGACCCGATCTATATAACCCCTCACAGGTGTGCCCAGACACTGACCTGATCTA